CCCATCCTGCGTAAAAGCAAGACACGGACGGAAGCGTGCCACTCCGTGGACGTCTCTGTAGGGGAGAGGAGAGTAGCATTCATGAGGTATCTATGGGATTTGTCGAACCTCCTCGGCGACGTGCCCCCCCCCCGAAAAAAGAGAGCGGGCGGACTGACTCGGGGGGAGAAGTGAGTTTTTGAACACCCATCGGTTTTCTTCTTCGGTCGAAAGCCAGTCCCCTCCCCCCCCGCCGATGCCCCAGATGGAGGGAGGCTCCCTCCCCACCGCCCGGGGGCGTCCCGGCGGCGCGCCGCCGGGATGGCCGTAGCCGCAGCCCATGGGCGGCGGCAGCCCAGGGGGCGCCGACCCCTGCGCGCCCAGGGCGGCGGGGGGAGGGGGGGGAGGAGGGGGAGGGGGAGGGGGAGGGGGAGGGGGAGGAGGACAGCTAGGTGCGCTCGCGTCATATCTGACGTCCTACCCCTCCCTCCCATCCCTTACCATGGCGCTGATTTTCTCTATCCGCGGACGCGTGTCGTAGCGGACCTGTGGCTCAGCGCGCGCGTGCGTAGTGGGTGGTGGTGCGCGTGCGTGCGTGCGTGCGTGTGTGCGTGGTTGTGGTGGTGGTGGTGGTGCTGCTGCTGTGCTGGTGGTGTGTGGTGGTGTTGGTGCTGGTGGGTGGTGGTGTGGTGGGTGGTTGTGGTGGTGGTGGTGGTGGTGGTGGTGGTGGTGGTGGTGGTGGTGGTGGTGGTGGTGGTGGTGGTGGTGGTGGTGCGGCGCGGTGGTGGCGGGCGGATGGGCGCGCGAGAAAGAGGAGAACGCCATCCTGAACGACGGAGGCCAAACACCGATCCGAAAATGAGGCCCACGCTGCAGCGGGAGCACGATTCGGAACGATTCGGGAGCAGAAATGAGGCCGGCGCCTCAGCGAGAGCAGCATTTTGAAAAAAAACGCAGGCGAAAACCCAACTCCCGGGAATCCTGCGTAAAAAACAGTACGCGGGGGGGGTCGAATATTCCCAGGACGCCATCAGGGGAAAAGGGAGAGTAGTATTCATATTGAATAATTGTTGAGGAGGAGGAGGAGGACGACTGGGAGGAGGGGGAGGAGAAGGAGGAGGAGGAGGCAGAGGAGCAGAAGGCGGAGGAGGGAGGAGGGAGAAGGAGGAGGGAGGAGGGAGGAGGGAGGAGGGAGGAGGGAGGAGGGAGGAGGGAGGAGGAGGAGGGAGGAGGAGGAGGAGGAGGAGGAGGAGGAGGAGGAGGAGGAGATCGCTCGGACGCTCAGCCACAGTGCGTGTTTTTCTGCAAGATGAGCCAGGATGTTCCTCGACGTTCCCCGCCGAGGAAAATGCACTCGCCCGAGCGTTGCCATAAGCGTTCTGATACTGCCGGAGGCGCGCAACAGAGTGGCCCCAAGCAAGAGTGCGACCTTCGGCCTGCGGTTTTCGGGAGGCTGCTATGGGGGGGAGAACCCCTTGGGTCCGCACCAAAGGTCACTCTGGCAATCACCCTCACGCGCAACCCATATGACATGATGGAAACGACGCCCTGTCGAAAACTGGTCAGCCCTCCAGCCACCCCCGGCCAACCCTCCGGGCCAACCCGTCTGGCCCCTCTGGAAAAGGTCCATCGGTCTCAACAGAGGCTTCGGCAAGAAGATAGCGGTCGATCCCACATGTGAGCGTTTTTTTTGTTATTCGGTGTTTCAACATTGGAAGGAAGGGGGGGAGGGGGGGGCCTGGCTCCTGATCTCTGCTTAGTGCGACTGTTTGCAGCAGTGCGTCCATTATGGGGGAGGCTCCACCTGCTCGAAACAGACGCCCAAAAACAGCCAAGTCCTACTCCATGGGGGGGGGGGGGGAGATGGGGGGGCGAGGGCCCGCGCCGATAGGCAAAACAGCGAATAAAAAAGATCACTATTCGAAGAGGTACTGTCGCAGAGAGGGGGGAGGACGAGGAATTGTTTCACGAACGATCCCTCATAACGAATCACACGCCATCATATCATCATCAGGCGCGGCTGCTGCTGCGAGAAGGCGCTGCTGCAACGGCCATCCGCTGGCGCGAGAAAGACCTGCTCCTTCGGCTTGCAGTTGGAGCACTCTTTTGAGTATCGTTTAACCGATCCCCATCCCCAGCGGCGTGGCCTGGGCCCCACTGGCCGATTTATCCCCCTAGATGGGGATATAGGTCGCTCCCTTCGGGTTTCGAGGGGTGTATCCCCAAGTGGGGTGGTAATTTGGTGGGGGTCTCGAAGGGGATGGGGATGGGGGATGGGGATCGGTTAAACGACACCGATATTTGACAAGGCCTGACGGTCTGGCTGCCGAGCATCGATGCCCAGGATCGACGCGTCTTGTGGTGGGCGTGTCTTGCTAGCTGCGTGAGGCAAGCTGCTGCGCTCGGGGACGGGCCCTGCACCCTGGGGCCTTAGAACCCATGTCTTTCTTCACCCCGAGTCGTTGACACGCCCGGGCAAACAGGACGTCTGCGGGACACGACGGCTCGACGTCCCCTGCGACGAGGATGGTGACGACGGCAGCGGCAACGACGACGCAGGCTGCCGCGAAGAAAATGGCTCCCGAGGGAGCTGGGCCTCACCCCGAACCGTTCTCCGACGGCCCCGGGTCCCGGGGAGGGTCCCACCGCGAGCCCGCAGACGGTGAAACACCTCAGGGTCCGTTTCCCTCAGGACCCGTCTCCTCCATTGACTCCACTGATGAGCAATAGGACTACCCCTGACACTCTGGGAGGGGACCTCCGTTCGGAAGTCCGAACGTATCAGAGACCGGGGGGCCGTCTTGCAGATGCGCCGGACGGAACCACCCACGTGTGCAGGGAGAAGCGTGACGCCACGGTCGAAGTGCACCACCAGGGGCAGAGACTGCATTCTGCCTGATGATCCACGGCGGTTCCCTCGCCCCTGGGGGGGGCTCCTCCTCGCCACGGCCGGCGACCCTGGCTGGGCCCGGGGGGCCGACTGCGAGGAGGGCCGGAGGGCCCATACCTCAGGCGGGCCGACAGAGCTGCGCCACGAGGCGGCGGCCCGCTGCGCGGCCGTCGCTGAGCCCCGGGGCCGTCGACAAGAACGACTCGGGATGGGAAGCCGCTGCGGCGGAAGGGGCAGGACCAATCCTCCTCCTCCTCCTCCTCCTCCTCCTCCTCCTCCTCCTCCTCCTCCTCCTCCTGCTACTGCTCCTCCGCCTCCTCCTCAAAGTCGACCTCCTCCTCCTCCTCCTCCTCCTCGTCCTCCTCTTCAAGGTCGACACCTGGACCTGCCCTGAGGCACGCTCTGGCCAAGACGTCGAGGCTGGTGTACGACGCGCGGCGAGGGTCCCTGAGGAGCGGAAGCGGAAGCGGAAGCGCAGTGTGTCCGGCCAGAGGCCAGGCCGCGATGGGTGTAGTGCAGGGACCGCAGCCCTCAGTGGTGCGGACCGCGTGGTGACCTCGGAATCCCCAACGACCTCCCCGCGCGGCCCGCCACCCCATGGCTTTGGGACACCCGAGGCCAGAGTCGCCCGAGACGCCCTCGGAGAGCGCGCGACCCGAGTCCCAAGACTTGACACCGGATCCTCGACGGCTCACCACGCGGTGTGGTCACCTCGCCGTCGCCGGCGTGGCACACTCCGTGGAGACAGGGGCGTTTGCGCGCGGCCTCACGCGAGAAGCTCGCGCGCGAATGTCGGCGCAGTCGGCCCCGACTGCTCCCATCGCTCCGTAGCCCAACGGGGTGGGAGGTCCAGGGCACCTCAAGGGAACCGCCACGCAGGCAACGCGCGGAGCGGAGGAGCCGGAGGGCACACCGGCGAAGAGCGCCTGGTTTCTCGACGCGCGGCCCCGCTGTAGCTCGTGGGCTCCCTCCACATCCGAGGATGCGTGTCTTCAGTCTGCGGTCGGAGATGACACCCCGCCACGCATTCGCCATCCGGTTTCGTCTGCCCGCACTGGGCCCCGCCGCCCCCGGCCCGTCGTCGCAGCAGCCGCCGCGTGCCGAGCGGCGGGGCCAGCCGCGCCACTCGCTCGGGGAGCATTCTGACCCCTGAGCCGCCCGCCCCGTCCTCGTTTTCCTTCGGCCGCGTCTCTCCTCCATCCTCCTCCTCCTGCATGGTGGCACACTTCGCTCCAACGGAACCACCGTTTCTATGCCTTTACTTATCGCCAGCGCAGCCACCCCCTGCCTAGCCGCCGACGCGAAAAAAGTGTTTCCAATCTGCGGTCCCAGCGGTCCCGACCCCTTCCCCGGGGCACATTAGTCCCCCAAATCCACTTTTGATGGCCCCGGGCCCGATACCGGGCCCAAGCTGAAAATTACATCGTCGGGAACCTAGATCCTCCTCCTCATTCCACGTTGGACGCAATTACCTCAAACCCATTCACACAGCAGAAAGAGCCAGGAAGAAGGGAAATGGTGGGCTAAAAAATCGCCTATAGGTTGCGTCCTCCTCATCGTACTCCTTCAAGGACTCTTATGCTTGAAATCCCAGGAAATGTCTTCCGGCACGATCTAGGACTGTCAACGGAAAGGTTGAACAGCGGTTCTGACTTTCCAGGAACGGCATCCAGGAAACAACAGTCAGATTGATTCGCGACGTTGAAGTCCCAGGGATTGTGCTTGGCAAGGTACATGATTCTCAGACGGTTGTCTTACAATTAAGCATTTCTTCGCAGGGACCTAAGAAGAATGCTTGGATTACACTGGTCTTCTTCCTCCTCCTCCTCCTCATCCTCCTCCTTGTCCTCCTCAAAATCGTGCTCGCTTTCCTCATGGTGAATTTCCTGCCCCCATCCTCCACCTCCTCCTCCTCCTCAAGGCCGAGATTCTCCCTCCTCCTCCTCCTCCTCCTCCTCCTCCTCCTGCTCCTGGGTTGATGCTCCTCATCACCCCCTTTCTCCTCCTCCTCCCACTCCCTCCTCCTCCTCCTCAGGGTCGTCGTTTTCCTGAGGCACGGCGGTGCCCCCGCGCTCCAGAAACGAGGGCCCCTGGCGGCGCAGAGCAACACCCCCGAGCGAGGCCGGCCCGC